CTTTGCATTATTGAGTCATCTATGTGCTTGATCCTTTGCTGCCATTTTGAAAAAGATAGATTTGTTCTTCTTCAAGCAGAATTTAAAATGAGTAGTCCCTTTTTGTCTTCTTTTTAAGTAGAGTGCACATTTTGACCTTTCTCTACCAAACAAGCTTTCCATCTCTGTCTGTTTTATTTCTGAACTCCTTTCTGTGATTCTTAAGGTGACAGGAGAGTAATTTGGCCTTGTGAAGTTGCACGCATCTTGATTGGATTCAGCTCTTTTTTTTTTTAACCTTTTTGCCAACTTCAGTATGATCCAGTATTTGAGTGTGATGCATATTTGTAAAAATAACACAGCTGATGACTCAACTTGATGCTGGCATCTGTGGAGGGGAAACCCTGTGTTATTTGTTAATAGGATTGTTCCTGACTTTTGAAAACATCCCTCTCGGTGGTATTGGGAAGTCAGATGTTTAAACAGTAATTTGTGCCCACCTTTGCTTTGCTGTTCTTGTATAAGAATAGAAGAGGCAAAACAGAGTGGTTATTATAAGTTTTACCTCGAGGGCAATTAAGACCTTGACTTCCAGGCTTAATGTTTGTATTCTCTTAGTGATTTCAAAGGTAATATGGTTCCAAGGTTGTGGAATAATTTCGGGATCACCTTATACTTAAAGAGAATGAGCATTTTTCTGGTAGAGCTTGCGTAAAGAGGCATATAAATACGTGTATCTATCAAGCATTCACTTATCATGAACTATAAATACATTTATTTACTGACATTTCTTCAGCATGCAGGTAATTTACCATTCATTTTAACTATAGGACTTGCAGAGGTATGAGATGGATGTGCTAGTTTATTGTTATACGAAGTGTTAAATCTTGGCTAAATATTAAACACGGTAGAACACAGAGAGTCTTCAGTGTTTTTCAGATTTGTTAGATAAGTTGAACTCATTGTCAATGTTAAGAACTCTACTTTGTATAAATACTTAGCACAGAAAGACAGAAATAGGTTTCATGCCGGTTTACAAATTGATAGAAACTCTTGGGATACCATGCCAAAATTCTCCTAATATCTTTTCATGAGATCCCACACAGCAACTCAGACAACCATTTTCAAAATCAAATATTCTGGCCCAGTTCAGTTCAAAGGTATACGAAGGTATCTGTGTGTTGAAGAGTGACTGTAGAATGATTTTCGTAGTTTTTTGTAATCTAACTGTTTCGTTTTTGAAAGAGCAATAAAACTTTGTACATATAGTGAATGCACTGACATTCAAGCAGTAGTCTCAGATTTGAGCTGAGATGTCTCAGGTGTTGTTTCTTTTCATAGGACAAAATGTATATAGTATATACTTACAACAAAGCTCTAGTGACTGTAGGATAAATTTTGTAGTTTTTGTAATCTAACTGTTATGTTTTTGAAAGAGAAATAAAACTTTGTACATATAGTGAATGCACTGACGTTCAAGCAGTAATCTCAGATTTGAGCTGAGATGTGTCAGGCATTGTTTCTTTGCATAGGACAAAATGTGTATAGTGTATACTTAGAACAACGCTCTAGTGAAATCACAAGGTCCAATATTAATGATGTAACACAGGTGAGTGGTATCAGAAACACCCATTTTTCTCCGTGTATAAATTGGAAATAATTTTTGACTACTGTGCATCCAGAGACTCTTCCCTTCTGCCTAGCCTGTAGCTACCCTCGGGTCAAGGGCCACAGTCTAAGACACTATGTGCAGCCCATAAGGAACAGTTTTAAACAGGGGCAGAGGGACCTTGAGAAACTGCCTGCCCTCCTATCTCTTCACCCAGAACTGTCCTGTGGTTTGATTGTAAAGAAAAAGATTGACTATGCCCTGCTATGGTGTAGAAATGTCAGTTGTTTTAGTCAGGTTCCCACATTTCTTTTAGACATAAGAGGGGACATTTATAAAGTAGATTGAGTGGGGACCTAGCCTGCTTGCACATAGGTAACAGACATACAGCTTGATCTTCATGCAGGTCCCCAACACCTGGAGCTGGGGCTTACTCTGACTCTATTCCCTGCCTGTGGATCCTGTCCCTAACTGGGGTGTTTTGTCTGGCCTCAGTGGGAGTAGCTATACCTAGTCCTGCAGTGACTTGAGATGCAGTGACTCAGAGGAGAAGGGGAGGCAGTTTAGGGGAAGGACCATGTGAGAAGGGAATGGGAGGAGAATGGGGGGGCAGATATAAAGTGAATAAATAAATTAATGTTAAAAAAGGAAGGGAGGGAGGGAGGGAAGGAGGGAGGGAGGGAGGGAGGGAGGGAGGGAGGGAGGAAGGAAGGAAGGAAGGAAGGAAGGAAGGAAGGAAGGAAGGAAGGAAGGAGACAAGGAAAGAGGTGGGATGGGGAAGGAAAGATGGAAGAAGGAAAAGGAAAAAAAAACTAAATAAAATTGACTGATTGAGGTAAGAGTCTTGCTGTATTGGCCAGTCAGGTCTTGAGTTGGCTCAGCGGAGCCTCCATCCCAGCCTCTGGAGCAGCTGGGACTAGAAACTTACTTAACCACACCCAACAAACTGTGGGTTATGGTTGTGGACACTCAGGAAGAAGCTGCCATATTTTTCGTTTTGCCTATATTTGCTTCTCCCAGTTCCCCTTTTTGCTTAAAATTGAATTGTAAGGAAAGCATGGTTGGGAAAAATCTAAAACAATTATTTATTATTACTATTAGTTAAGATTTTAATTTTATTTATGTATGTGTCTATGTGGGTACCCATCCTTTGAGGATGCATTCTAGAGCTGGTGTTACAGGGATAACTGGAACCCAAATTCTGGTCTTCTGATTTAGCAGTAAGTGCCTTTGACCACTGAGCCATCTCCTCAGCCCTGTTCTTATTTATTAGCTGTCATCTTAAAAAAATATACTTAGTAGGCAGAATGTGGTCATTGCTCATTTTGTGCCCTGAAGGAACAATAACCTTCTCACATAGAACTCAAGTATTAAGGCTTAATGAAGTTCCTTTGTGATTTCATCTAAATGTTGTCACTTTAAAGAAAATTCTGCATACAGTTTGATGCTAGAAAACAACATATGGCTTACAATTTCAAATCCCCTTTAATTATTTCAAGGGGCATTACTAATCCCCCCCCCAGTATGATGTCATCAACAATAACAAACCTTATTCTGCAATTCCAAAAGAGCAATTCCTGGTCCTTGTCCTTATGGGGACACAGGTTCTGCAGCTTCAGGACCTCCTGTTGATAGCCTTTGAGGCACTGAGCTTTCTCTTCTGCACAATTTCCATTTCACTAGCTCATTATTTTAGTATTTTAATTCAGGCCTCACTTTTAGGATGCTTGAAGTTCTCTTCAGAGAAATTTTCAGTTGTCATAGCATATTTTCAAGGGCAGGGTTATTTACTATCAAACTCCCCACTTTAAGAATGTTCTAGACAATAATTGGGATGTACATAGAAAATTATTTGTTTTTGAAACAGATTCATCCGAGCTTTCTGTTTTTCTTCTGGCAGCCTCATGTTATGTAGCATCTGCTTAAAAGAACAGAAAAGCCTTTAACAGGGGACTTCCTTAGAGAGTGAGGTCCCTGTGTTTTGGGAGACGACTTTATAGTTTCGATGGTGTAGGGTTCTGGGTGTTTTGAAATGTATACTGTGAAAACACACACACACACACACACACACACACACACACACACACACACACAGCTCCTACCTCAAAGGAATAATAGAGAGTCTATTCTGGAGCCAAATTTGAATGGTAGTGTCCTCTGATCACAGACTCCAAATTCAGTGCTCCAACTTGGAAGCAGTTTCTTGAAGGGTTTACATTGACAAAACAAAGAAATCCATAAATCAAGACACTTTGCTAATAGATTGATGGCGACATCCCAGGTGGGTTACAGCTAGAAAAGAGCCTCCAATGGGCTTCGGATGGTGTCTTCTGACATTCTTAGCTTTTGGGTGGGTGGGAACTAGTGGTCTGGTAATAGATTCCAAAAGGTTTCCCTCTATTAGACAGAGGATGTTAATTCCTATCCAGAGGTGGTCTATTCAGGATGCTAAAGCTAGCCAGTGCTAAGGTAATTAGTGTCTGGACTCCCCACTTTCCAACGATCCACCTCACTGCAGTCTTTTGCTTGATCAGTGTAGGCAGACATGGTTCATTCCAGGACTCCTCCTTGATGATACTTGCCAGGATTGTTGGCAACCATCTCTTCTAGGCCAACCACCAGCAGTGGGAGTGATGGAGGCAGCCTGACCCTTTATCTGTTCACACTATTTTATTTTAGTTGTCTCTGTTTAAGCTCTTTCTGTCATTATTAGCTCTCAAGCCAGTGACCTTGGGATAATGGATTCTTTATATTTACAAGGAAGAAGAGAGATAATTTTATCATAGCTGAGTCTTTTCAGCAGAGCTGAAGGTCACTGTTAATCTCAAAGATGGCAGGAGAAATAACACAGGCCCAGATCATCATGGCCAAATTAATTAAAGCAAACAATTAATTAAAGCAAGCTTTTTGATTTGTGTATATGGGCTGACTCCCGATAAGGTGGAGTTTGAGTGATCGGTGTTGGATGTGAGGAAGACAAGGTTTTGATTGCTCAGGGTAGGGGGTTTCCAAATAGAGTATTTGGTGGGCAAAATGGGTGAGATTACCAGAGCTGAGCATAACAACTTAGTCCTTTATGGTCTCTGGAAACAAAGACATGGTGAGAAGTGGGCATACCATGGTGAGACGTGACAAGGCAGTCATAAATAGGAGTCATAGAAAGTCATTAAAAACAAAGTCATTTAAAACAAAGGTAGGGTTGTACAATGGATAGAAACAGCTTTTTGAAACAAAGACACAGTTGTCATCCTAGAACAGGTAATAGCAGTTAGAGTTGCAGATGGGTCATAGTCCAATCTTTAAGAAACAGAGGGTTAATAGGAAACAGGGCTGGATCTAGTTTCTCTTTACTACAAGATGTTTTTTAAGCCTACAATGGAGGCAGGCTGGTTCTTGGGTCACCCAGAAGATGATGGAGTCACCAGGATTAGAATGTAAAACCTCAAGAGTGTCCAGTGGCCTTCTCACTGTAGCAAAAGGCAGAGGATGCAGTCAGGTGATGGCACAGTAAAGGGGACATGATACAGAATCTTTCCTCAAGAGGAATGAGTGGCCTTGGGCTAGCTCCTTGGTTAGTTTACTTCCCTGGTTGGAGAGGCAGCTTCGGTTCTCTAGAGGAGATGTGACAAGTGTTGAGGTGTTCAGTGTGAGCTGGGATCCCCACTTTTAAAAGGTATCTAATACATCAGCTACAGCAAAATACATATTGGTAGAGATTGTTGATCTCTATCTTATCCTTAAGGCTCCGGCTGTGGTTTGATGGTATGTGATATTAGCCATCCACTCAAGCTGGAGTATGCCGACGAAAGTACACACTTTCAACTAGGGTCTTATGGCTGTGAGCTTTGCAATAGATATGAACTATGCCCATAGATTGTATAAGGTGGCTATGGAAAATTATCACCTTGAGATACATAGATTTCTACGTTGCCAAGAAAAACCTCCTTTGAAGAAAGGGTGACTGAAAAGGGTTACAGCCCTGCCCAATTGTGTGACGTGGAAAGAGAGTGTTGCCATCTACAGAAATCATGGTTTAGAACCATGCAATCAGGTTACAAAAAAAATCCAAAAAATGTAAGTTTTGTAATGTTACATTTGACATATACTTGACTGTCTTGGCAAACATACAGTCCATGAACCATAAGATATGAATGTGAGATCTTTTTTATCCAGAAGAATAATCATTTTTGACATCTTACCAATTAACTCTGCATCAAAGTCATGTGATTTGCCCCATGATACACCTGTCTTTGCCCTATTAAAGCATCAAACATAACTACATGTTCAAGTCTATATTACAAATTAGAGAAATAGTCAAATACTAAAATCTGAAAAGATCTGTCTTTGTGAAGCTTGGGATTGTTTGAACCAGCATGCTTGATGGGTTCTTTTCTGTCCCCCAAACTCAAATATCTCCCAGGTAAATTCAATGTCATATTCTACAACTGTTATTTCTCTGTGAGTTAAATTAATGTAATTTTAAAATTATATACATACTAATTTAAAAGCAAATATTAGGCTTCGGAGAAGGCACAGTTGTTAAAGTACTGAAGGTGTGAGTTCAACCCACAGAATTCCTGCTTATTGAAGCTGGGCATGGTGGCATATACTCCTAGCACAGGCTGGCAGGGATAAGTGAATTCTTGTGGTCACCTAGCCTAGCTCACCGGGCAAGCTCTGGGACAGGGAGAGGTCCTTTCTCACAATCATGTAGAGAACTCCTGAAGAATGACCACTGAGGTTATCTTCTGGCCTCAAGGTGCACATATATGCAGACACAAACATGACGTACAAACTTGCACATATCTTCCTAGTAAGATAGCAGTACTGCTTGAGTCAAAGAGAAATCTTTGAGCTAGCTGAGTTTGGTCAGTTTGATTCCAAACTTATTATGAACAAGATTCTTGATCAATATTATGTATGTGAGTTTTGCAGTTGTGCAAAGCATATATCACATATAAGTGTGTGAGCATTTGGCATATATTAGATATTTAGTGTTTAACAAATACCCAATATTTCTACCTGCCAGGCACTGTTCTTATTGCACTAAAAATGTTAACGCATTTAAATTATTTAACAAATGCTCACTGAAAGAACTAATGGGATTTATGAAATAATATGGTTGAATACTGACAAACTATAATTTATTCAGTAGTTCAAAACAGTTGTCAGAAGTTATTAAATAGAAAACCTCCAGAAATATATAAGAACAAAAATCATTCGTAGTTGTCAGCCATGAGGTTCTATTTTATGAACCTGTTATTTTACCCCTGTCCTCTTGTGCAATATCTGGCACACAGTAGGTACTCAGCTAATTATGGAATTCATATGTAAACCTTACCATTTAAAGCATTTGCTGAGATGGTAAGTTGAACTCGAATTAGGCAATCACTTTTACACAGTGAAGATTGCATTCCTAAGTTGGCAGGTTTGGAATAAGCCATGCATGCCAGGAAAGAATTATTATTATTATTGTTGTTGTTATTATTATTATTATTATATCTTTCACTAACTGGCTATTTTAGCCTTCCTTGTGCTACTGTTGCTTGCTTGGGTGTATGTGGTCAAAAATAAATGGAAAAGGCATTGAAATATGCTTCAACTGACCATGCAAAGAAATACTAGACTTTTATCTGCCCACTATTTTTTTAAAGCCTCCCATAACTCTTAAGAGGTTAATAACCTCACTGTAAACAACCTATTCCTTATCAGCATCAATCCTTCCTTCCTCAGAGCTGTTTCCGGTGATGACTTAACATCTGTGAACTTTTTAAATGTGAAAACATCCTTTGTGTCATCATTAGCTTCCTCCTCACTAAGTTACAGGTGGAAAACATAACGAAGAAGACGTGAAAGGATGCCTGGAGTCAGGCCTTAATGTAGGAACTCTAATAATAGTCTGACTCAGATTGGGAATATGAAACCAATTCATTTGCTTTTTAAAGAATTTCTTAAAACCTGTTGGACTGGCTAGTTTTATGTCAGATTGACACAGGGTAGAGTCATCCAATAGGAGGAAGCTCCAATTGAGAAATCTTCTCCATAAGACAGGGCTATAGGCAATCCTGTAGAGTATTTAACGTTTTCTTATCAGTCCTAGATGGGGAAAGGCCCAGGTCATTGTGGGTGGGGTAATCCCTAGGAAGTTGGACCTGGGAAAGCAGACTGAGCAAGCCGTGATGAACAAGCCAGAAAGCAACATCCCTTCAAAGTCTCTGCATCAGCTCCTGCCCTCCAGTTCCTGTCCTGTTTGAGTTCCTTTCCTGGCTTTCTTCAGTGATAGACTACAATGTAGAAGTTTAAGCTAAATAAACTCTGTTCTCCACAACGTACTTTTTTTTGGTATAGTGCTTCATCAAGGCAATAGAAATCCTAAGACACATGGCTAGTTTTGTTTTGCAATAGTTATTTTGAAAATGAGCATTATCTTTAAATTAAATTTGCGTCTTTATTTCCCAGACATACAATAAAAGGCTAAGCTACTATGTGGGAAAATGGGAAGTACTGAGACTTGAAAACTGAGTCATTTTTAGATACAAGTTTTGTTTTAATGCCAAATAGTATGTGTGTTATAGAGGGAGGCCATGGTGTGTGAAGTTTATCTTTGTCTTAGTTATAGACTAAGCTTCAGGTGTATGTTGAGAATACATCTAATTGACGACCCTCGTTGCCAGGCTTATAATGTTTATTGTGTAAAGAGCCCTAAAGGTGACAGTTTACATTCCATTAAAGAATCTGGGTTCACCACCACCTGATTGCTGTATGTGTTAAGTGTTCTCCTGCATGCCTGACCGTGTCATTTTGTGTATAGAAGAGTACAAACCCAGAGATGCAGAACTTGCAGGCATTTTCACATTGAATCTTCATGTGCTTTTGTTATCTACACTAGGTTGTGATTTTTGTTGTGACCCTCATCTCAGTTGTACTGACTGAAACGGGATGTTGTGGTGGTGCTCTTTGATTTTTCTCCACCATCATGTCTTGGTATGAATCAACATAAAGCACAATACCTGAGTCTAGCCACAGGGCTTCCTAGCTGTTGGGAAGCGGTAGGGCTATTTGTCATGCACTTACAAATGATTTTGGATTGGATCCCAGTCTCCTTGTTGTTGTACTTAATATTCATGACCCATGGTACTCTAAACCTCTAACAGCTGCCAACACTGCTAACCAGAGAATACTACAAATAAAGTCAAGGTTCAGAAACAGTTTACAATTCAGAAAGTCAAAGATTAAGAAGGCATTTCATTTCTGCAGCAGGAGGCTCCTGCTGACCTCACTTAAAATGATTCTGTATTCCAGATGCCATTTAGAGGCAAGTGGAGAGTCATTTCAATTTGGGAGGTGACTACCTTTGCAACCTGCTCTAATGCCTCCGTTAATCCTGGGGACAGAGTATATGCACAGATTACTTATGAAGGAGAATTTCATCTGTCTGCCAGGCAGTATGGTTGGTTGATGAAGATGTGGGAATGCAAAGATGCTCCGAGAGAGTCTGTATTTAAGGACTTTGAAGGGTAGTGTGAATCGGGAAGTAGTGTGTGAAAGTGTAAGCTGAAATTCAGGCTACAAAGTGGTGATGGTGTATGTAAAACATTGGAAGTGCTAAGGTAATATAGAAGAGAAAGTTGCATGCTGACCACAAAAACCAAACCAAACCAAACCAAACCAAACCAAACCAAACCAAACCAAACCAACCAACCAACCAAATAAAAAAAAACCCTCCCAGAAATGAAATACTTGAGCGGACAGACATACATGACTTAGTCAGAAGTCAGCATCTCAGGTTGAAGCAGTGAGCCAGAGAGGAGCGCTCAGTGTGAGCGGTATGCAGAGGGGAAGTCACTAGGTCACTGAGGGAACACTGAGCATTGATTTGGGAGATAGACTGCATGACATTTACACAGGAAAGTGAGTAAGGAGAGAAGTTTAACCCCTCGTGTGTGTGAAGGTATGGGGCATTTTAACACATGTTGCTGTGGTTCCCCATATGTAGGAAGACACTTTATGACTTCCGCATGTGTGTGAACTTTGGTTAATTCAACAGGAGTCTAGGATGGACAACTCCCGTTCTGCCTGTAGGCTGTGTGTTTTGTTTTGTTTTTTCTTCTAAACTCAAGGAAGGGTTTCTTTCCGATGAGACCGAGAATTAGACTCAGGAGTTGAGGTTGGCATGTATTCTACGAGTGTCCCATAATAGCATATAGCTCATTCTTCAACATTATGAAAGCATTTATTTTCTGACCACTGCTATTAGTTTACTTTTCACTGAGAAGTATCTGGCATATTGTTCTACCCTACTAATGAGAAAAACAGTGTGTCCTTAAGGGCTTTCTCCTAGGTCTCTTCTTCCAGCCTTGCCAAACCATGTTCAGATATGCTTATAAATGACCATGAGGCACAAAAATCCGTCTTTGTTTTGGACTCTTTCAAACAGGAAGACAGAATAAAAAAAAATCCAAAACATTAAAAGCATCCTTTTTGCATTACAGAGTAAATACTCCATC